TAATGTGAGGGCAAGAGTTGAGTTAACTTACTGCCAAAGTTAACCTACTTCCCCCTCTGCCTTGAGCAAACCACCCACGCCACGTTAAACTGGGAAAATGATTAGAATGCAGTGAGATTTCAACCGCATGGAAAACCAGTGCTTCAGTGATGCAAATCTCGAGCCTCTTTTAATACGCAAATGTAGCCATTCTAGTTTCAACAATACAAACAGTGCAAATTATAATCAGCCATAGATTTTCATATAGGTGAGTGGACGACATCTTTGGAGTTGACTGCATACATTGAATTTGTTCTGGCCACATTTCACAAAATCCGTTTTTTACTTCTGCGGTATTAAGGTCACCATTTTCGAACTATCGCCGTCCTCAGTTTTGCTTGGTAACATGGTCATTTCTTTACACCGTCACATTTCCTGGATTCTCTAGTTTAGGAAAAGCATATATTTTGCTGAGCAATTCTGCTTACGATTTGAAAAATAGCTGATTTTCTGAAGGTATTTCAGTTGCTTGACAGCTCTCATTTCAATGCACTGTATCTCCTTCGACCAATCTCTATAATTTTTCCGCAACCATTGTTGCTACAGGCTTCGTATGACATCATGGAAGAAGTTTTTTTGCAGATGAAACATTGAAACAACAGGCGAAATTTTCTTTAAAGTTTTTCTTTTTTTTTCTCTCAACTATGCAAAGACTGGTTATATGGAATGATTTATTTCGTTTAACACATTTGATCTGCGATAAGAATGGAGCAACATTAAAAGTTATGATCACAAATGAGACATGTATAACTGAAAATAGGAAAAATATGCCGGAACGTTAACAAGGTAATTTAGTAAGACCCTAAAAATAGTGAAACAATGAATGCACTTCACATTCAGACTAATTTCTCAGTTCATCGATTATATGCACGAAAAAATATCGTATGAAGATGCTGCAGCTTCAATTACATTTACAGGGTTTCATATTTGAGACGACTTCCATCGTTACTCCAGTCACCGTTGTGCATCTTCGCTATGCCATAAGAACACTAAAGGCGTTCAGATTAGATTCACAGTTCGGTGCTCTCTATTTGGATACCGTTGGAACAAATCAATGTTCGAAATTTTGCCATTTTCAGCTGGAATCTCACAATGGTCTGTTCGAAGCTGTTTAAATTCATTGAACTGACCCGGCAAACACAATCTATTAGGTGTACAATGTGCAATTTTTAAATCTTCCATTGACCAATGATGAATGACATAATTAACTGAACGTTTTCGGAATGCGATAATACTCTTCATACCTTTGCTTTTCCTGCGATTTATCAACACACTCCGATGAATCGCTCTTTCGGTTTGTAGTTTCACTTATTTCCACTACATGCGCAGAAAAGTTCACGTCTGTTTCCGAAATGGAACCTTAATTAAAATCATCAATTAACCTTCCCTTGTTTGGATTCATTCATTCGCCTCAATATGATAGATCCGCACTAGAACAAATCGAAAATACAAATTTCTCCACGAATTAACTGCTGATTGGCTGGCTTTTGAAATTCCCTGCATACAGTTGACAGAACTCAGAAAGATTTGATGCGAAAAAATAAATTCAAATCGACGGAGAATCGCATTCAAATGCATCATTCGGATAATTGTCCGTGTTAAGCAATGAGCATGGCAGGAACGAATTCAGTAAGGTGGATCTACCTGCTGGAGGTGTTTTCCCGTTCAGTGCTTCGGTTTCAAAATCGCATTTGTAACGACCAGTCATAATCTGGGATACATATGAATAGAAGCCGCAGATATATAAGCTTATGAAGAACGTCGGCACAAGAATACCTGAAGAACTCAGCTAATAAGATATTCATTCAACTGAACTGGTTTATTGATGTAGCTAGTTTCGAAACACTGAGTATCCACATTGGGGATCAATCTGAAGATTGATCTCCCACTACCTACTTTTCAGTCCTACTATTTTTTTGTCGTTGATTCACAATGGAAACTGCTCACCTCACTTCAAATCATTTGATTCAATAGTTCAAAGAATTTCAATCTACTTCGGTTCATTCAGCTCTGTAGCGAAATGTTTATGTCAGTTTTTGACTCTTGGCATGTCTTGAAACAGTGGTATATTTACCATCGAAAGAGTGATGTTCACATCGCATTCCAGTGAAATAATTCCCCTTAAGGAGGTGTCTTAACCCAGCGAGTCATGTCCAAACTGAACCGATGAAACAAGATTGTTTCAATTCATCATACTATATCTCCTCAGCAGTACTACCGTATGCCTCAAGTGATTTAAAAAAACGTATTGAATGATTCGAATGACCTTGTTAATTCCGGATCGCATTCTTTGAATCTAACAAAATAGGATTATGCCCGTTGAAAAGACTTTGAAATCATCGTACCTGTAAGAATGCCCGTGACAATGATGATGATAAGCATTGATGAATCCATTTCACAGGCGAATACGTTGCGTTCGATTTCAGCACATTTTGACACTAAACCTGAGCACTGATTTTCACAGTGGCGCTGCAAGTAAGCAAGTGGTGTTGAAGAAGTTCGATTGAAATTGATTCGAATTGCAAAGGAGCGAGGCCGAGGCAAATCTTCTTATGCTTTCACACACGCACACACACTACTCTTCAGCATTCAGAACCTAGCAGTTAAACGCGCAACTGGTCATATACCAACAGCACCGATATTAGACCAAGGCAATAATTCAACGCTACTTTCAATCATCGCAACTGCTTGATGAATACCACCACTACGATAGATGTGGTGATTTATTGCGATGGCTTCATTTTTCGATGGCAATTGCTCACTTGCGCCCTTTCGCGCAGAATGACCATTACGAAATGCTGTTGGCGATCTTGATTCATGGAAAATGGCTTTAACGGGGATAACGAGGATTAGCATCCGAGATGTCGAGCAAAAATTCGCAGAAAAACAACAATCAAAAAATCAAAATCAAAAATAGTGTTGATTGGTCCTATTATTGTTAAGCTATTCCGAGGATGTGAAGTTAATAAGCACAAATCGATCATGTAAACATTCGCCGNATATATATATAGGTCAGTTTGGTTGCAAAAAGATCGCTTGCAAGCACAAACTTACTGCAAGCGGAATTTCCATGTTTTCCAATGATTAAGAGAAGAGGCATTCACACGAACGATTGAACACATCAAAAAACTTCTCACAACATTGCAGAAGCAATGGTGTGCTTTCGTGAGCAATACAATTATTATAACAACAAAAAAAAGCAAAAGAAACGCTCGCAATTATGGTGGTTCTCAGTCGTCTTTCAGTTTTATGCAAAGAGCACATGCACTCTGCACGCAATTACTGATGTTCTTCGAATCGCGTTCCTGGAGTTGCTTACCCGTTGTGCGTATTGTCTGAAGAATTGCTCGTTTTCAAATGCGTACGCGTTAAATGCGGATAATGGATCTTCACTTAGAATTGAGTCGATTATTTCGAATTCCTTCTCATCATATGAGTGTTGACGACGAATGATTGCTCTGAAACACTCGAATGAAAAAACGATCCAAGAAAAATGAATTGCTTAAACGTGTGAGGAGAATTTCATCAAACCATTTTGACACTGAACAAATGCGCATTTGCGAAGAATGTGACCAATATTTTGACTAGGTAACAATGTAGAGCCACCAAAGTGAACGTCTCTAGAAGATGGAAGAAAAATTTCTTCTATTTGTCTCGTCATCCGATGATGTAATTTCGGCGGTTGGTCTCGTGTTAAGTCAAGAGTAATCCGAGCAATTTAATTATAGTGTATAGAGCGATGAGTTCTGGCTATGCGAATCATTTATTCTTCCTTATTACGCGCAATAACGTCACAAATGCCATCTCCCACAACACGCGAACAATGACCTAATTGCTTAGGAGCGCATACGGGTGATGCTAGCAGCTCGTTATTAAACAATTTCAGCGAATAAATTGATAAGCAAGACTGCTAAAACAAAACAGCATATGCGTTTCAGCATGGGTGACGATGAAGCAAAAAAAAATGCAGCTTAACGGTTACGCTTTCCAAGTGCACTGCAAGTGCAGTGTCTTCTGAAGATTTTCCGTTTCCATGGGGAATATGCACTCACTGAAGATAGTTGGCCAATTAATTTTCACTAGCAATTATCAACATGATTTGTGACCTATTCCACTGAAATCTTCACTGAATTTTTTCTCGGAAACCTTCACTCACTTGATGTTCTTGCGGAAAGTCGCTTCCTACAACATGTTTTCTGCGTTTCCTAGCATGTGTATGACTGTGTGACTATGAGTGGAATAAAAGTGCAGAAACGCCTTCATCTGATAAACCAGCATCCAAGAAAAAAAAAGCGTTTCTGGAATTACTGGAACGAATGAGAACCGATCAACATACCTTGATGAGTCGCCATCCACAACAGTCAGAATGCATGACATAGTGAAGACCGTTAAAAGCATCTCGTTAGAAGTAATGATTTTTTTCTGGCTCTTTCTGGCCTTTTACACACACACACAGTAACAAAAATGCCACCAAAAGAATATTCACTGAGCAGATTTCAAGCAGTCAATAGTTCAGTTTAATAGATATTCACAAATTGAAGATTTACGAATGACACTCAAAACATTGAACGATGCAATGAACATTTTCGTCGTCAGCGAGGGATCATTTCAGCTGAAAACTATTCATAATATCCCTCACTCTTTAAAGATAATTATTCGTATAGCGTTAATTTGAACCTCCGAACTGCACATAGAAATCGGACTGCAAATGCTGCAGTTAGTTACGTTTAAGTGTCAATGACGCACTTGATTGTGCCCAGTGAAAGGAGGACAAAATCGTCGGAAATCGCCATTCGAATGATAAGTGATTGTAATCGATGTGAACAGTTCAGTGATCATTTAAATTATTAGTCGACGGGTTCTTTGAGCTCTTACAATTAGCGATTTTGAATTAGTTATGCACAAATGAATGAACACTCAGCAGCTGAGGCGAAAACAATTCGTTCGTGAATAATTCAAACAGAAGATAAATCTCTAAAAGATGAATTCTTTAGACAAATAACTTGTTAAGATCGAAATCGCTGAGTGGAGAAAAGTAGAACAGCACGAAAGAATCTCACTTGAACTATAGTAATCAATGAACAACGGTGAAATACCGCTTATGGAGTTTCACTTAATGCAAATGAAAATAGCCTATTCATGCACTTCTGTGTCAGTCATATAGGGTATCCTTCAGCTCTGGAATGTTTCGCATCTGAACTGGGCACTACGGTTTGCTAAACTACACTGTTTACGGAGGGCGCAATGAAAATTTGGTGACTGCTTGAAAATCGCTATCGGAATCTGCGATAAAATAAAATGGTCTATTTGGAGTCAGACCTAAGCATGGACGGCTGGCTATTTGGGTAGGCTATAGCAATCAAGCAAGCTATAAATCGACCCTTCGATGAACACTCTTACTCTTTCTTATTTGTTTGATTACTCTTATGGTGTAAACAAACATGCTGCGCGATGTTGGCATGAATGCTAAATCAATATGGGAGTGCATTAGCGCAGCATTAAGCAACAAATCAAAGAATCGAAGCACACTGAAACAGTGAACAGTTTTTGAGATGCTCACGTTATGCGGTAACGTTTAACGTCGAGAAACGTACTTGAGAAAGATTCTACAGATGACCTTTAGGGCCAGTTCATTCACAGACTTAATGATGGAAGCAGTTATGAACGAGTACGGAGATGGACACTACTAAATAATTTTAAAAAATTTCGTTAGCTTGCAAAAGCTCTCGAGTAAGACAGCCACATTTTGAGGACTTTTTGGTGAAGTATTAAGCGGAGTTAACAAATGAAAATGAGAAATAGGTGATGAATCAGCCACTGACAAGAACTCGGAGAAAAAGTAAACTCGGAAAAACAAAACCAATTCAACATCAAAAGCACTAATCCATAAAGGACGATTCAGGAATTGCATTTCATGCGTGTGTTTTCAGATACACTTCTTAATTGATCGTGGAAGGTTTCCCATCTAATGTTAGCGTGAAAGGAGTACGGAAAGATGATATAACAAAGCATTTTTCACGTCAGGCAGTACATTTTATTGAAAGTTGAACGATGCACTGAGATGAGAAAATCTAATGAAGCTGAAACTGATAAAGTCATCAACAGTAGGTGGGTGAATCATCAACAAAGTCGTACTCAATCGACTAAGCCATACAAAGTTATCTCATGTGTAAATACAAGTTCGAGGTTATTTTATAGCCTCAATTGCAAATATTCCAGCAGTTTTGTCCGTATGCTCATTCCTAATTAGCGTTCCCGTTTAACAAATGAACCAGACTACGATGAGTCATTCATGAATCCCTTAACGAACTGAAATTATCGCACCAATTCAGAGGTTAAATTCATTTAACTGAGGTAGAGCGTGGCATTTGTTCAATTAAGAGCATTTTGTATGACATATGTGGAATTGCCAGGTAATATGTCATAGAAAACAATCTATCTGAGGGTGTGATGGAAGTGAAGCAATTGTCATCAACTCCATTCGAATCACCGCAAATGAAAATTATTAAATTATTTCTGTTTGCTACATAGNTAAATCCAAACAATTGATTGTTTTGAAGGCTTATGAGGATTAACGTTCATCCATCGCGACATGCGTTGATTGTGTGAGAGCAGCAATAACTTCCTTAAGATCAACCGTATACCCACACGAGTTATGCCCACACCGATTGTTTTTCAAAAGCAACTAGATGTAATGAAGTGTAGAACTTGTAAGTGAAGGACGCAATCTATCTACCAAAAGTGAACAATTGACATATTCACTTCTGAAAGTGACACACTGAATCGATTCATCAAAATCCACAAGATGCAAATTTCCATTGCTTGAAAGCCAGCCACATTTCTTTGCTATTGAATTCGTGGATGATTGAGTAATGTATTCAGAAAAAGTGAACACTCCAGAAGAGTCATACAAAATGACTGACTTCAGTAGAGCAATTCAGCGAGACATTCAATCAACCAGATTGCATTGCAGAGTTTTGCGTTGCACATTGAGGAGAGTTTGTGGTCGGTAATTTGAGAGGGACAACGTAGTGAAAACTGCTATTGATGATTGATTCTGGATATCGTCGCACGCGAAAAAGATTTCTTCATTATTTATGCCTACCTATCACAATCAGTGGCTAATCTCAGCCTACACTTTATCACGACGATTCAGGTGTTCTCATTCAGCAGTTCAGCTTCACGGGCCGTGATACATGATCACAGGAGGAAAACTTAATTGTGATCATACAATCATCAGGAAGTGTAGTTTTGATAAACTGTCGATGACAGACCTCGAAGTTTTGAGCTCTCTAAAGCCAGGAAGTTTTTGTGTAAGCATAGCACACATTCGAGGATGTATTGCAAAGCATAAGTTCGCAGATGAATAATGTTGACAAATAAAGTCCGTNAATGTTTTTTGGACTAAGCGGATTCGCATCATTTAAAATTCTTTACAGAGTTTTTATTTTCATCTCACTCGATTGCATTCATCTGCAACGTTTTACACTTGCTTTGAATAGTCTGCTCTTTTTTTTGCATTATGCGATTCCAAAAGAATTGCATCAATAACCTAACAGTCCGTATCAAACGCGAAGGAATCCTTCCAAAAAAATTGGGAACATTAAAAATCGTTCTGTAACATGTCTAGAAGAAAGTCAAAATATGTGAAAGCAAAAAAAAATGAAACAATTGGGAATTGAATCGCAAAGCCGTGCACAGACACAGTGCTCCATGTTCTCATAAACTCCGAGCAATTGAAAGGTGGACGAATCTCACCGCCCCTCAACAAATCCGATTATGACGGCGTCCGAACAGAATACCGGAGCTTGGTCAATCCATCCGAATCAACTTTCAGCATTCTCAAATTCGTTAAT